GAAAAAATAAATTGTTCTTATATACTTATTTAAATCTAGTTTTTCAAAACTCTGTTTTAACCAGATTATTTACAAAATGATTTCCCAATATTTGTGTATATTCTCAAATTACGTATCTATCATTTTATTCATTTTACTTTCATAAAATTAAAAAATATTTAACTTATAAGCATCTTATAAGTTGAAAAATACTTATCAGCAATAAACGAATAAGCATCGATGTAAAGAAACACTCCCTAAATTTCATTCATATTTGAATTTTTATGGGAATTAAGGAAAATATATTTTTGTGTTGACCTTCTTAAATTATCTTTGATGTTATAGATATCTTTATATATAAAATTTAAGAGTTGGGCTTCTAGAATTGTGACATGTGGCACACTTATTAGACAACTTTTTTAACATGTTAGCATGCCATGTCAGCAAGTACTACGTAATATTTAAAGAATTAGTCAACAAAAACACTTATTTTATGGAAATTGAATTTCGTATTTGTTAAACACCGATTTCTCAGCATAATCGCATTTAAAAACTTTTATATTTTATTTCTTTATTAGAAAATATTTAAATTAAATAATCCTTTCTTATAATAAAGGAGACTCCGATTTACAGCAATTCGACATTTGACATGTCTATTTGGCAAAACTTTAACATGTCAACGTCACGTAATAACTGAGTAAAATTTAAAGAATATTTATACTGAGTAAGAAATTGATGCCGATTAAAATAATGGCCTTTAAGATATTAATTGATAAAAATGTTTAAATAATTTTCATATACATGTTTATAACACGAAGGTTAAAAGGCAAAAAAATTATATATGATCGCCAATGCAATGTTTATAACATAGCACATGGCTTATTTTTATTAAAAAGAAAATAAATGATAAAAAGTATTCATGGACACCTCAAATTTTAACATCTTTGAGGTTAACATTATTTTTCAAATACTTCTACACTATTGAAAAACTTACTAGCAACTTGAATTCACCAAAAAATAAACAACCGTAATATTGATGAAAAAAATACTCTGATGTTTATTTGAAACCAAAAAATATATCATACCCAAACACTATTTTCTTTAAAAATAAAATTGAATAATATAAATTTGATATTTCAAAATCTTTTTGAAAATAGAAATGTATTCTATGTATATTAAAATGCAACAAAAATATGAATGGAAAAATAATGCATTTTTTTTAGTATAACACATACCTTATTTATATTAAAAAAGAAAAAACCTAATAATAATTTGACTTATCCAAAAATTAAAAAAATAACTTAATAAATTAATGAAAAAAAATTTAAAAAACATGTGGTTGAAATTTATTTAAAAAAAGAATTGATACTCAAATTCTTTTCCTTAACAAAAAGAAAATGGTAAAATTTAAAATTTATTTTTAATTTTTTTAAATAATAATAAGAACAATGAACATATCTTTTGTATACCCTGAAGTCTTTCAGAAAATTTGGTATTAATTTTTGTGTGTGTTGTACACAATCAATCCCTCAAATATTATTTATTCCACTTTGGTTTTTTTCTACGATATTAAATATCATGCGAGAAGTATATTTTATTTATTCTTAAAAAAATATTCCTTTAATTTTTATTTAGAGTCGATAAAAAATTTCGTTGGGTTCAAATACTAGTATATTATTAGTGTATAGGTATATGATGATCTGATAGGTAGGATGCAATTTTGTAGGGGTAAGATTCATTTTTTATTTGAAAGAAGAAAGAGATTTTGAGACAGAAAAAAGGGAGAGATTAAACATTTTTAGAGACGGAGGAAGTATTAATTAATAGTACATAGTAGCATGAGTGATGAAGAACTACCCGTGTAAATGAACCAGAGAAATAGGAACTACGCTTGTAATATTTGATAAGTAAAAACTTATAAATATAGAAAACACATATTACTAGGCATCGTTTATCGAATTAACTCATTAATTTATTTATAAATCACCCTAAATAAGACTAAACATAGAAAAAAATATCAAAATAGGAGTTCCATGTTTTTATTCCTGAAATATGAATTCACATTGTGGTAATGTGGTGGTAATGTGACACTATACATGTACACTTTACTATACTTTTTGGTAATAATGTACATTACCATGTTTGGTAATGTAAATAAATTTTAACTCCTATTTCGAGAATAAAAACATGGAAGTATTATTTTAATATATTTTTGATGATTTACTCCTACTTTAGTGTTTTTCCCTAATTTGTTTGAATAGATTTTTAAAAAAAGTAAATATAGAGAAGTTATCTTTCAGTTTCTAATTTTGTTACCAGAGTTCTACAAGTCAGTATCGTCTTTAGTGTAGCATGGTCCTTTTTTTTAATATAAAGTTCAGTTGTTTGCCTTACTCATTAGTCTATCAAAGCCAACTGCCTATAAAATAGAAAAACAATTAGAGAAATTTACCTTAATGGTACTAAACATATTGACTTTTTCAATATAGTATCATATGTTTTTATTTCTCAATGTCGTACTACTAGTCATTGTCGATTGGTCATTGTTAATGTAAATGTCCAGCGCCATCCATTTGACATTGTTCAAACTAAATGTCGACCATCACTGGACATTATTCTCACCACTAGGCATTATTCAAATACTATTTGGAGAATAAAAAGTTTAAGAATTACATTGAGAAATGACATACTCCGTATATTTTAGTACTATTTTAGTGCAAATTTCACATTTATCTTTTTTTAAATGTAAGTATTGAACGAGAGAATTTACCTAAATGGTACTAAAACAAAGTAACTTTTCCAATGTAGTATCATATGTTACTCTGTATTATTTTTCGATGTAGTACCACTAGTCATTATCCAAAGGTCATTGTTCAAGTAAATGTCTAGCGCCATTAAACATTGTTCAAACTAAATGTCCACCATCACCGTACATTTTCCCACCACTAGAAATCATTTAAGTACTACTTAGGGAATAAAAAACTTTAAATAGTACATTAGGAAAGGAAAAATTATCTCAAATAATCCAACCTTTTCGCGCTCTTTCAAAAATAATCTCACTTTTCACTGTCAACGGAAATAATCCCACCTTTTCGCATGTGTGCGAGTTTTGGGTCACCGTTAAAAAACTAACGGCCACTTAACGGAAGTTTTTGAAAATGCTTATTTTTTGCAAATAAATGAAAGGTGGGATTATTTTAGAAAAATTTACTTTTTATTTTTTTAGTTTTGAATTTAAAATTAATATTTTTTAAAAATATAACAATACACTCTTGTTAGAGATTTGTCTAACGATTAACAAATTTTGTAGTGATTTATAAAATTTATGGGTTCCGTTTCTGAGAAAAAAATATTGTGTCATTTTCACAACTTTTGAATTACTATTTTGGGAAAAATTTTGTATTGAATTACTAAAAAAAGCACAAATTGGGTAGTTCCATTTTAGAAAGAAAATTTTATTGCAATATAAGATTATCAATAAAAATTTCAGAGTGTTCATGGAAAAATTGCAATACAGCAGAAAATGTAGTGAGTTATAAAAATAAAAGTTCTATTTTAGAGAAAAAAATTGTTGTGTTATTTTCACAACTATTGTAATGTTGTTTCACAAAAAATATTTATATAGAACTATCGAAAAATATTCATAAGTTTTGTAGTGCCATTTTTTAAGAAATAATAATAATGTAGTATCAAAAAATAATTTGAAGTGCAGCTCAAGAAAAATACAGTAAATGCAACTTACAAAAAAATGTACTCCCTCCGTTATCAAAAACACTTCCTCTTTCATTTTTTTC